TGCAGAATCGAATTAATTTAATTAAACCAAAGCCGAATCTGAACAAGCAAACTGAAATGCCCACTGCTAATTATTTTTCACTGGGCAGAGATAAATCACCTAGTACTCTGTTTTTCAAATTTCACAATAAGAATAAATGGAGGGAAAATAACAAGAAACATTTTTGCATTGGCAAACTTTATTACAGTGGGGTCGCTAATCGAACGTAGATGGTTTTCTGTTTGAGTGAAGCCTATGTCAACTTCTCAGCTTCCTTTTTTTCTACAAGTTTGATGAAATTGCGGACAATTGTCTTGCCTTGGGTTGTTATAATACTCTCTGGATGAAATTGAACTCCCTGTGCAAAAGTTTACATGACCTAAAGAGTTCTTTTTTTCATGGTGGAGACAATACGATACATTAAACAGTTTAGTGGGTTTTACCTGTATATGCTTGTACTTCCTGTGACGCGCGGCCATAACCAGACCATCGTCTGTCCATGCAGTAACCTCGAGTTCATCACTGGGAAATGTTTCTTTTTCGATAACGAGGCTGTGATATCTACCTACAAGGAAAGGGCTGAAAAAACAGACCAACAAGATTTATTTTCATTTACGGACTACTAATGAATATGGTTTCTGCAGAAACATCATATATAGCCCGTAGAAAAACTGATACATACTTTGATAATCCAGAGAACAAGCCTTCTTCTCCTTTCTCATCATAGTGAACCATTGAGCTCTTCCCATGCATAACACCAAATGGTGACCGCACAATCTTTCCTACGACCAAATTGCATTAAAGTTGAGTATCCATTACATAAAGAATTAAACCAAGTTAGAACAATGATACGGGGAAATAAGAGTTATTTTTTATGCAACTAACCTCCAAATGCTTCTCCTATACACTGCAAACCCATACATACACCAAATAAAGGAACGCGTGGTCCAAGTTCCAAAACAGTTTGCAAGGAAATCCCAGAGTCTTGAGGAGTACCTATCAGTTTTAAGAAAGCTATTATCTTCTTCTTCTTTTTTGGCTTTATTATTCTTCATTTTCCCTACAAGAATCTTAAAAGATACACCATGCAGCTGGGAATGAAAGTCTGGAGGCCAAAATACTTACCCGGCCCTGGAGAAATCAGCAGCCCTCTTGGATTTTTACTGCAAAAAAAGGAGAGCATAATAAAGGAATCAACACCACTTGATTAGCCAGATTACGTTTGAAACAGAGTGAATATAGTTTCTTCTTACCTTTTCAGCTCCTCTACTGTAAGTTCATCATTGCGGTAAACTTCAAAATGACATCCTAGCTCTCCCATATACTACGGAACAAAAAATAAACAGGTATCAAAAACTTTGGTTAATCATAAAGTAGAAGAAACAAGATCAAATTGTATATTGGAGATCTCTGCGTGATGTGAGATATCCAAAATTTCACGAGAGGTCGAGATATTGGACCTATGAATAACCAAATCTCCTTAGCTTTAAAGATTCTTTGCACAAATTTAAAAGTTTCTCCTTAGAAAACCAGACTAGGGGCAGCAATGAGCCGATGTATTAGCTTTTGCTGGATAAACAATTACTCCTTCCAACGAGAAACAAGAAACTCCACAGAACTAGAGGCTTCCGACAATAAAATTCGGAGATATCGACTCTAATCACATAACAAGAGAGAATGTACATTACATAGTTTTGCCTATTAGCATGTGTAACAATTCACTACAATGCATACTTGAATACATTCCTATAAAACCAAGGACTTGCAGTTAGCCAGGACCCTAATCTAATTTGAGCCATAACCCAAATTATAAAACTCTCCAATTCAAAAATTCAAATAAAAAATCGAAAAGACACAGACCTGGCAGAGGTTGTAGGTGAAGCTGTCGTAATTATCAATCACAATGATGGGACCATTCTGCTTAGAGGAATTGACAAGAGCAAAAGGTGTCGAGTTGGCCATTTCAATCGAAGCTTTCGCAATGACATCTCTACGACTCTTCCCCGAAACCGAAACTCCTATCACACAGAAGAAATAAGAAAAAGATAATAATCGAAACCCTTGATTCGAATAAGATCAACGAGACTTACTGGTCGGATTACGATGGAGATTGACGAGAGAAGGGTTTAGGCGAGTGGTGGAGCCGGACTTGGATTGAAGAAGACAAGACTTGTACAGTGTAGCCGCCATTGTCGGAAAGTAAAGATCCTTCTTTGATTCCGAGAGAGAGAGATTGGAGTTTATAAAGCTCTGAGAGAGATTGGGGAATTGACAGGTGAAACGCTGCGTTTTCTTTGAATTTTGAACCACGTGCTTAATCAGTAGGTGAGTACTACTAATTTTGATTGGAATTTGTTTTTGGTCAAAGTCTTAACCATATTATCTTAAAATGGCGTTTAGAATCAGTCGATTCACAGGTTAGTCATACCTG